CAAGTGAAATTCTTACTGTTTTACAAAGGACGGAATTGGACAGCAGACAGATGATAATTCCACCTGCTTCTAGGTTTGACCAAATTGGCCGTGATTGCACTAAAAAACAAACAAATTATCCTCTGGCTTGGCTAAGGCCATGTAGGTTCACACAGTTGAAACTTCCACCTCCCTTTTTCTTCTTTGAGAACTGTGTATCCTTCCTTCCTTAAGGGTGATCCAAATGGATTCAGCCCAGGTTAGTTTAAGAGAGGTTTATGGAACCTAGCACATGGTTTACTATTTCAAATTAGAAATGGATGGGGGGGGGTACTTCCCTGGTGGTCCAGCGGCTGAGACTCCACGCTCCCAGTGTAGGGGGCCCGGGTTCGATCCCTGGTGAGGGAACTATATTGCATATGCATGCTGCAACTAAGAGTTCGCATGCCACAACAACGATCCTGAGTGCCGCAACTAAGACCCAACGCAGCCAAATAAATAAATAAATATTTTTAAAAGATACTTATTTCATATTAAAAAGAAATGGCTGGAGAGAAATATCATATATAATCTACACATTTTTCTAGGGAGAAGCCTTTTTTTTTCTGGGGAAGAAGAATACAGTTTTGCAAATACAAAGACAGTATAGTAACTGCTGAGTGGTTCAGCCTAAAGTAACTATAGAACATGTAGCTATTATTTTATTGTCAAATTTGCCATCATCCTGGTCACCTCAGTATTCATGAGGAAAAACCAGCCAACATGCCAGGCTCCCAGATCCTTGACTCTCTGGACTACAAGCCCCTTGTCTCTGTTTCACTTAAGCCACCCACTTGCATGATCACACTGGACTGTGTTATCACATCACACTGCAGAGCCTGGGCAATCTTAAACTCAGACATCGTTCTGAGCCCAACTTGGTAACTCTAGAACTTTCTCACACTTGACTTGCTCTGCTCTTGTTTTTGGTTCTCAAGACAGGACAATGGACCCTTTTACTTTGTTCCTATCGACTCCCTTCCATCTTCACTTCCTTTCCCACCTGCTTTGTCCTTAGTGTTTGAGGTTATTGATGTCTGTCATAGGACAACCAGCTGTCCCGGTTTGCTCAGAACCGAGGGGTGTCCTCAGAGCTAAAATGGCAACAGTCTGGCACAGACCGGGAAGTTGGTCACCCTAGTCCATTGTATCCATATGTGGAAATACTATATGACAGTGCTGCATGCATCTCTTCCCAACCCCATGTTCAGTGACATCACATTGGTAGCTCAAAATCGACCATAGGGGGAGCATTTATACCATGGAAATCAGCAAATGCTTCAAATCAGGGCTTGACTTGTTTTGTTGATCGTCTAGACTTAAGGTGATAGAGAAAATGTTAATAATGTAGATTAAACTTAAAAGTATGCTGTGTCTGTAGCCATTATGTTGTGAGTAGAACCAAAAGTTGAGGAAAGATTCTCCAGTATTCAAGAACTATTATCTGATTCAGCAAAGAAGTCACTCATGTATTTGACAGACAAGTGAAGTTCTGAAGTAGGTCTGAGTCATTTCAGTCTAGCCCTAGTCCTTCACATGAAAACATCAGCCTTCGCCTCAGAACTAACACTCTT